TAAAATTGTTATAATACATTTAAAAAAAATACAGGTAAGGACTATAATTTTTTATAGAATAAATATAGAAATTTTATAGTTTTATTTATAGAGAACTTGTCAAATCATTTGTATAGAATATTCTATAGAATTTCTATAGAATATGCAAGATGTAAAACATTTTGGTAGGACTATTCTGGTCAGACACGAATGTGTCAATACAATATTGAATGAAATAAAAAAAAAATGAAAAACATAGAAATTACATTAAAAATGTTTATATAGTATGTTATAGAATTCTATAGAAACTAGTTCCTCTATAAAACAATTTTATAGAAAATACTAATTTCTGTAGAAATTGATTAGTCTCTATAGAAGGTCTATAAAGTTTTATAGTATTTTTATGTATGGGTTCCAATCTTTTAGGCCTATCTTTTGGCCATTCAAATCATTGGCCTCCCTTGAGCTATCTCCCATAATGATAATAATAATAATAATAGTCGTCGTCGTCATTGTCATCGTCATCATCATCATCATCACCATCATCATCATCATCATCATCATCATCATCATCATCATCATCATCACTACTCTGTGACACAGCTACTGGGCATGGACTCTGGAACGTCGATTGGCATCAACTGCCATCCTATCAAACTTTTGAAGCTGGCGGACCCTGCTATCGCACCTTATTTGACACACATATGTAACTTGTCTTTAATAAATGGATGTTTCCCCGCTGATCTGAAAGTTGCCAAAGTGGTACCAATCCACAAGGGAGGGTCTAAAAGTGACGTGAACAACTATCGTCCAATATCTGTGCTCCCTAACCTTTCTTAAAATTTTCGAAAGGGCTGTCCATACCCAACTTAATAACTATTTTACTACTAATAAGTTATTGTCTCCTAACCAATCCGGATTCCGGAAAACTTATTCTACTATTACTGTGCTCACAAATACCTATAAAATAACTGGCTGGACAGCATGAATGGTGGACGTCTTACTGGGGCAGTTTTTATAGATCTACGTAAGGCGTTTGACACTGTCAACCATAAAATCCTTCTTGATAAATTGTCCCGGTATAGTGTACACCCTTCTGCCAACATTTGGTTTTCCTCTTATCTTCATAACCGCACAGAAACTGTCAAATTCAAGAGCACCTATTCTGATTTCCGCACTGTTAAGTATGGTATTCCTCAAGGGTCCATTCTGGGCCCACTTTTATTCACTATTTTTATTAACGACTTGGCCCTTGCTACTAAATACAGCACTGTTGACCTCTATGCTGATGACACCTCACTTTATTATTCTCACTCTAACATTGATATTATTAACAACAGGTAATCTGAAGACATAGACACTATCCATACCTGGCTTATTTCCAATAGACTAACTCTTAACATTGACAAAACTGAGGTAATGTTAATTGGCACACCTCAGCGGCTAAAAAATTAAGAAATTGACGTATCTTTTGGTGGCAAACGGATTAAAAATGTTACAATGCACAAGACCTTGGTGTTTATATTGACAATAAGCTTGACTGGCATTCACATGTCAGCAAACTTAGCTCGAAACTTGCACATAAAATTCACATTTTAGCCAGAATAAGAAAATTTATTGACTCTCGTGCAGCACTCTTATTCTATAATACACTAATTCTCCCACATATTGACTACGGTGCCTCTCTTGTGGGGTACAAGCAGCTTGCATAACACCGACAAAATTCAGAAATTGCAAAATCGGGCCATGAGAATCATAATTAAAGCACCTCTACGCACTTCAACTAACACACTTCTATCCACTCTCAACTTAATGTGTGTATCTCAAAGGGTGCGATATCAGGTCGGCTGCCTTACCTTTAAAGTTATCAACAACTTTGCTCCTAGTTACCTTGTGGAGAAAATTTCTAGAGTCCCTGCCCGAGCTATAAGAACGCGAGCTTCAA